TGCAAGGGAGTCAGCAGGATGCCTGAAGACACCATCATCAGTTCGTTCCTCTGCATGCCATCTCATTAACTTGGCCGTCTTGGATGACATAAACAACCTCTGCAACCTTGACTTTAAAGGAAAATACCTCATCTATTTTGCAGCTATTTGTTTGCCACCTGTGTTAGGACCATTTGAACCACCATCACCATTTGATTTCCATCTAGAACTGTTGCATATGACACATTTATCAAGATTAGCGTCCTCGTTTCGAAACAACATACAACTGTTGGGACATGCATCCCACGTCTCACACGTGAAGCCCAAATCTGTTGTAACCTTTTGAGCTTTATAATATGAGTCCGGGAGTTTCACACCCAACGGAAACGCCTCATTCAATAACTCAAGCAACATGTCAACAAACTTATCCGTCCACTGATTAAGCACCTTCAAATGTAGAAATCAAACAATGAATGACAAAGATGTGAACTTCTGACAACCCGGATACAATTCACTTTGTGCATCTTGAAGAAGTTTGAAATACTTTGCAGTCTCTGCATTTGGACCGAGCTAGGGTTCAGATGCATGGGGATCAGGCCCCTGTGGGTCATCACCCTCAACACTTGTACCAACATGTGGATTTCTCACAGCCCCTTGTATCATTCCAATCATATCATCCCCAATGTCTAAATTAACTAATGTTTCATTCTCTCGATTACTATGCAGAGATATGTAAGATTCCCCATGATTAATCCAATGTTTGTATTTTTAAAAAAAAAACCATTCAAAATCAAATGCTCCCGTACACCCTCTCGTACAAAATAGTATCGATTCTCACACTTCCTACACGGACAACTGATCATCGAACCTTCAACCCTATTGGTGTAGGCAAACACAAGGAATTCATCAATCCCATTAATGTATTCACTCGACATCCTATTTGGCAAATTAACAAAATGTCTAAAATTCCTATTTAAGAGCATATGATTTGGAAAAAATAAAAAAAATAAAAAACTTGAACGATTGAATGGTAAAATTGATAATTTATGGATGAAAAAGAAAAAAAAAATGATAATTTAAACTTAAAGGATTAGAGCATATGATTAGAGCATATGATTTTGACAAACTATTTCTAATTAGACAAACTATATATATATATGCATATAATTTTTACTGATTTTGACAAACTATTTCTAATTAGACAAACTATATATATATATGCATATAATTTTTACTGATTTTGACAAACTATTTCTAATTAGACAAACTATATATATATATGCATATAATTTTTACTGATTTTGACAAACTATTTCTAATTAGACAAACTATATATATATATGCATATAATTTTTACTGATTTTGACAAACTATTTCTAATTAGACAAACTATATATATATATGCATATAATTTTTACTGATTTTGACAAACTATTTCTAATTAGACAAACTATATATATATATGCATATAATTTTTACTGATTTTGACAAACTATTTCTAATTAGACAAACTATATATATATATGCATATAATTTTTACTGATTTTGACAAACTATTTCTAATTAGACAAACTATATATATATATGCATATAATTTTTATTTATATATATATAGATTTATATACATTGCATATATATACAGATTTATATATATAGACATTCATATATATATATATATACAGAGACCGAGAGAGAGAGAGAGAGAGAGAATACGCAGAGCGAGAGAGAGTTGTTGCCGGAGCACCACTACTTGTCGCCGTCGCCGCCGCACCACCGCTGGCTTGCTCGCCGCACCACCGCTGTCTTGCTTGTAGCCCGTTTGAGAAATTTGGGGGTGAAGTTAGGGATTTGGGAAGGAAGGATCGAACGGCAACAGGAAAAAGAAGAGGGGGGATTTTTTTATTTTGACTTTTTGCGACGGTATGCTGTAGACCGTCGCAAATAGAAGGCAGTAGTTCGTAAAACGGCGCCGTTTGAATTAATACTTTTTTGCGACGATAAATTTCCGTCGCAAATGAGATATGCCGTCTCAAAAAAAATGTGTTTTGCGACGGTTTTCTTTACCGTCGCTAATACTTCGGCATTTCTGACCCCTCCGCTTAGTTTCATTACCGACGGGTAAGTGCCGTCGCTAAAGGCTATTATTTGCGACGGGTGACGTTACCGTCGCAAAAAACCGTTTTTTGCGACGGGGGGCGCGGCGTCGCTAAAAGCTCCGTGTTTTTTGCTATGTTTTCCTGTAGTGCTTATTGAGAATGGATGACAAGGCATCTTAGTGATCTCTGCGAGGGGCGCTACCTTGAACCTATGAGAGAGTAGGAAGATTTTTTCTGTAACAAAAAAAAAAAAAGAAAAGATTTCAGGCATTTTTTATCTTAAATTTTATCATTTTAATTTCGACAAATTAAATTCTAGAGTTCCATTTGTATTTCAATATGCTCCTTCTGTCCATCTCCGTTTGTGTAAGATAATAGAAGGGGTTTAAAGTGAAAAATGCGTGAAACTCTAAGTTTATTGTGTAATTAACTATTTTTTTTAAAATGAAATCATTAAAAACAAAAAGGGTTAATTACAGAATAAACCCTAATGTTTTACATATTTTTCAATTTAAACCCTCTCTGTTACTTTATACAGACGAAGATGTACAGAGAGTGCACATTAAAATATAGATGAAACTCCAAGATTTAATTTATTGAAATTAAAACATTGAAATTTAAAGTAAAAAACACGTGAAACATTGGAGTTTTTTTTTTTTAATTAACCCAAGTATAATTTTTCAATGCAAAGAAGGTATATATGGAGTTTCTATGTACTCGTCATTTTCTAATTACACCTCTTTAAAAATTTGAAACTTTATATTATCTTGTTAAACCCATCATAATACCAAATATATTTTCATTGCCAACCTTTCATTTTTATTTAACACCCCATCTAATCTTTCAAACCATAACTTTATATTTATTACCACTACTTTGGACGAACATAGCCATCACTTACTACTCCCATGCTTTCACCATCTAACCACTCCCAACTCATATTACGAAGATTTACCTTTTGAACTCCCCTACTACTACTTTTGTATGCCACTACTATCACTTCGCCTTCTATTGCAAATAACATATTTTCAACGCCTAAACCACCGCGACTTTAACTCCTTATTCCTAACCTTAACCATAGTGTGTGAAAGAGAAATAGATATAAGGTTTTCATATAGAAGAAGAAAAAGAAAAACATGATGTAAAGGGCAATAGTGGTGGATATAGGGAAAAGTAACAATAGAAGAAGGTAAGGGGTTGAAAAAGGATTGCAGGAAAATAAGAGAGAGAGGGTGTTGCGGGATTTGAGAGACTATGTTAAGGAGAGAATAACAGAGAGGAGGAAGCTAAAGAGGGGTTCTGGTTGAAGAAAGGTGTTAAAATCCAATATGACTTAAAATAGGCCTTAGCTATGAGCATATGAACCTTTTGGGTACTCTCTTTTTACAAGTCGATTTTCAATGGATAAGTTCTACTTAGCCTTCGTTTGGGAAGTGGATTGACTTTTTGGCTTTTTGACTCTTTTGGCTATTTTAGCCTAGCCTAAAAAGCTTAGTTTGGGAATGACTTTTTGACTTTTTGATTTTTTAACTTTTTTGACTTTTTTTTTTGTAAGAAAAGAGTACAATGATTATAGGTTGGATGTAATATTTTGTTTGTTGTGACTAAAATAGCCTATTTTGTCTTTTGTAGCTATTTTAGCCACAAACCAACTTGCCAAACACCATCTTAAGAGATTTGTATCATTTGATATTAGAACCAGCCATCATGTAGAGTATGTGATCAATATAGGATTGTATGGTGCGCCCTATGGTTTGAGAGCCAAGAAATGAGATGACTTATAGGGTGGATTAAGATTAGGGGTGCAACTCGGGCGGGCTCAACCCGAGCAACCCGAGCCCAGCCCGAGTTTTTTTAGGACTTGGGCAACTATATCTTGCAATCTGGACGGGCTTGGGCAAAATTTTGATGCCCGAATTGCAATTCGGGCCGGGCTTGGGCAGAACCAATGGCCAACCCGAGCAACCCGAACCCGAATTGAATTTAATATATTATATAAATTATATAATATATATAAATTAAGTAAAAGAGTTAGTCTTAATTTTTATTTTTTATTTTTTTTTTGGTTAGTCTTCTATTAAGTAAAAGAGTTAGTCTTAATTTTTATTTTTTATTTATTTTTTGTTAGTCTTCTACCATTAGATTAGCATCTTTTATGTCTACCCTTAGATCTACCTACAGGTTTCTGGACTCGGGCAATTCGGGTAATTCGGACAATTCGGGCTAACCCGAGCTCAAAATACAAAGCTCGGGCCGGGCTTGGGCAGCAATGCTCGGGTTCATGGTCGGGCTTGAGCGGGCTTGGGCACTGCCAAATACAATTCGGGTCGGGCTTGGGCAGACCCCCAACCCGACCGAACCCACCCGAGTTGCATCCCTAATTAAGATATCGCTAAGGTATCGAATATTGATAGGTAAGTAAAACTGTTATATATATATAAAGAGAGATTATCGTTGAGTAAGTGTCAATAAGATAGATCATCGTAAGCATCAATTACAGGGTATAGTGGTATGTTACGATCTTACAATTGTCAATATTGATATTGATGATATGCATATATGCCTGTGGACTACTCTCTTCCTACAAGGTGATATTCACGAGTGAGTTTTATCTAAATGATAACAGTAAGTGAATGATGGAAAGAAGCTCGAAAATTTTAAAATAATCTTATGTAATAATAAAACTGTAATAAAAGAAAACATGAGAGATGTAAAAAGATATTTTTGTGGCGTAAATTAAAGCAATCGTACGGAGGTAAACATTAAAAAAATTAAAAAATGGGAAAATCATTGCAAAATGTAAGGTAAACGAACTTGATGAAACAAGTCGTTGTAAATTGTAATGATACAAAGTAGTTTAATATCATACCTACCAAAATTAGACTTATTTAGGTGTTTGGTCTGATTGAGACACTAAAATGGCGAACACGTCCCCGCCACCACCCCCAACATTTCTCTCATCCTTCCAACTGTTTGGTCTGTTCTTAGTTTTAGGAGCCAAATTCGGAAACAAAACAACAATGATGTGTTGTTGAATCTTTGTTCATGCCCAATCACGGGAAAAAGACAAAAGAAAAAAAGAGAGAGAGAGAGAGAAAAAACAAATATCCTCAAAATAATGAAAAAGCCATTAATGTAACAGCACCTGTTTTTCAAAACCCATTTGAGAGAAACACAAAAAGCAGACACCCATTTCAGCAAATCCGTAGAGTAGAAAACCCATCAAACACCTGAAACACGATATTATTGTTGGTTTCCTTTCTGGGTTTTGTTATTGTGTATTTTTTATTGGATGGTTAAACTTATATCTGGTTTCAGTGTTGGAATGGTGGTTCGTTTGGTTTTGAGGATCGCATTGAGGGTACACAGAGAGCTCAATCTGGGTTAAGAAATAGAGCAACTTTGAGAGAAAAAAGAAAGAAAGAGGGGGTTGGAGAGAGATGGGTTTTTGAAGAAGTTTGGAGAGATAGAGAGAGAATGAGCGAAGACCTGGGGGACATTGTGAAGGTAAATCACAAGCAAGTGGTAAGAAAAAGAGGCGTTTTTGTTGAGAAAAATGTCAGTTGCCCACGTCGATGACGACGATGAAATGGGTGAGGACTGCACGGTGGTGAAGCTCCTCTCCAATGGGGACATGTATAATGGGAGGTGGGTTGAAAACCTGCCTCATGGGCATGGAAAGTACTTGTGGACAGATGGGTGTATGTATGCTGGTGAGTGGTTCAGAGGCAAAACCATGGGCAAAGGTAGATTCAGTTGGCCCTCTGGTGCCACCTATGAGGGTGAATTCAAGACTGGTTATATGGATGGTCAAGGGACTTATACAGGAGCTGGAGGTACCTATAAAGGTTCTTGGATTATGAATTTAAAGCATGGAAAAGGGACTAAGAACTATGCCAACGGGGATTACTACGAAGGCGAGTGGCGTAGGGGAGTGCAAGATGGACAAGGGCGTTACCAATGGAGCAATGGCAACTATTATAGTGGACATTGGAAGAATGGGGAGATGAACGGAAATGGAACAATGGTTTGGACTAATGGGAATCAATATGAAGGGTCTTGGAAAGATGGATTGCCTAAAGGAAAAGGAGCATTTCGATGGGTGGATGGGAGTTTTTATGAAGGGGTGTGGAGTGAGAACCCGGAAGAACAAAGTGGGATTTATTATCCTTCAGATGTTGGTGATAATAATAATAGTGTAGATTGGGATCCTCAAGAATTGTTTTCGGTTGATTTAAATGATTGCAAGATTTGTCCAGCTGATAAGGTTTCAATATTGCCTTCACAGAAGGTGCTTAATTGGCATAGTCTTGAAGGGGACTTGTTGCACAAGAGAAATGATGCAAGGCCGAGGAGATTGTCCGTGGATGGGAGGCTGAGCAATGGTGTTGTGCATAGTTTTTACTCTGATGCTGACATTGATGGATTTTCAGTGGCAGGGAGAGAGGTAGAAGAAGTTCCAATGCAGATTAGAATAAAGCCAACGAAGAGACAAGGGGAGACGATATCTAAAGGGCATAAAAATTATGAGCTCATGCTCAATCTGCAGCTTGGAATAAGGTAGTACTTAACTTATGATAGGATTTATGATTGTATTTTTCTCTCCTTTTACTTTCATTCTGTGTTACATAGATATGACTTTCTGAATTAATTTTCTTGAAGAAGTAACAACTCCTCCAACCAATTAATTCTTTTGTGTTGTTATCTTATTCTTATCAATTATAATGAATTTGCTTGAAATGATGCTCCCTTGTTTTGTAACCTCCGGGGGTTGATTTTGTCCTTTTATGTTCAACAAATGAAATAAATTTCAAAACCTGTAAAGTAATTGGTATATAAAGTGACAATAAAAAAATAGAAAATTGCTTTCTTGAAGCAATTACTGTCATTTACTTGGAAACATTTGTGTTGTACTGCCATTGCTTTGAATAGTCCTACTTAGAGATCATGCTTTTGCATATCTTGTGTATTCCACCTTCCTTGCAGCTTATGGAGATTTCCTCTCCTCTCTTATTTTTTGGAAAGGATCCTCTTCAAAACAATATATTGAGAAAACACAGAACTTCAGGATATGGATTATGGTGGATATGAAATGTGGGAAAAAACATTGATGTATCTGGTTCCATTTCCACTGATATTTGTTGCCATTATGGTCTGAGAGCAGAATATTATAATTTGTTGGTTCTTGCAAGGAATCAATGCTGCATTGGTTGATTTCCAATTAGAAGACAAGGGGTCATGTTTATGATTTGGTGTGACTAATAGGGGTGCAAAATAAAAAATACAATGGGAGTGTCTTATTGGATGTTTAATAGATAAGAATAATTACTAGTTATGGAACTCTCTCTCTCTCTCTCTCTCGATACAATAGTGTTAAAGTGTTCACCTTTTCTTGATTTACTACAAATTCATAAATCCATATGACTCTTCTTTATAGCTTCTAGCATAACAAAACTGATTATTTGGCATCATTCCTTTGTAAGGTGAATTGGCTGAAAAATAAGTCAACAATGCTACACTATCTATATATATATGTATGTTTCCGATGTGAAAGCCTCATGTCTCGTAATGATGTTGTTATATATCTATATGCAGTTACAAGTTGCATGTTTCTAATTCATTTTCTCATGCCATTGCACAGACATTCTGTTGGAAGACCAGCCCCGCCTACATCCCTTGATTTGAGGTCTTCAGCTTTTGATCCCAAGGAGAAAGTATGGACCAAATTTCCGTCCGAAGGGTCAAAACATACCCCACCTCACCAGTCTTGTGAATTTAAATGGAAGGATTACTGTCCATTGGTTTTCAGGTCAGCAATCAACACACAATATTTCTATCTTACTTTTGTATGTGTACGTATTTGCGGCTGGTCATGCTCCTCTGTTCCTATGAGTAGGTAGAAACTCAGAAATAGTAAAAATTCACAGAAACTATGGACTTTGGGGCTCAAGGAGATTGGTATTTGGTTGGAGCAAATTCTACAATCCTTAGGTAGTGTTTGGCTCCCTAGAATGAAATGGAATGGAATATCATTCCATCAAAATGTTCATTCCCATGTTTGGTTGATTTAAAAAATATCAATAAAATTCATTACAAATGGAATCATCATTCATCATTTCAAGGGAATGGTCATTCCATATGAGAGCCTAAGGAATGGTCATTCCATTCCATTCCAACTTATTCCAGTGAACTAAATGGAGCATTAGTGTCAACATGAGTGAAGTTCTTTATATCATTGTGAGAAGTTGTCTTTCTTGAACATTTGTCGTTGATCGCACTAATTGAACTACTTCAAAATTAGCTTCAAATTTAACAGCATAACATGACTACTAATTTAGTTAAAAGAAATGAGACCTCATGTTCAAAATAAATATATTTTCAGGACTCTTAGGAAATTGTTCAAAGTGGATGCTGCAGATTACATGTTATCCATCTGTGGGAATGATGCCCTCCGGGAGCTCTCATCCCCTGGAAAAAGTGGAAGCTTCTTTTACTTGACCAATGATGACAAGTACATGATAAAGACCATGAAGAAGGCAGAAGTTAAAGTGAGTTCAATTTTTGCTCACCTCTATATGAGTTTGAGATAAATTTTGAGTTTCACAATTGAGTCTTCTTTTTTATGTCTTTCATTCTCTCTTTCTCAAATACTATTACAAGCACTGAAATAAATTTTCTAGATCATTAAATGCTTCCATACCATCCCTGTTATCCATTGCATGATCAGACCTACTTGCTAGGAAACACAGACACTCCAAAGTAAGTGTTATGTCTGTATCCGACACAGTGCAGACACGCCACGTGGGGTGCTAATTTTTTTTATTATTATTATTTTGGAAGGACATGTTGGGGACACTTCATGGATATGTATGCCTTGTGTTTGGACATGCCTCAGGACACCTTTGTGGTTTTTATTTTTTAATTTATTTATAATTTTAGAAAACTGTTTTGTGGTCAAAGTAAAATATATGGAAACAAGGAGGGGGAAAGTAAAAAAACTAAACAAAAATATACCCACATATACATCAATGCCTCTCATATCTTTGTGACCTAAATTTATATTCATATATATAACAAATAAAAATATACAAAAATATTTTTCTATTCTCGTATTCCTCTTGTGTCTATATCTTAATCATTTGAAAAGCATTATTTCCCACTTCTTTTGCAAACACCATAATGTTGAAGTAATTCCTGAAGTATTTGTTTAGTCTCTAAGATTTTGCAGATAATTCCACACCAAAACTTTATGCTAATCAAGCATGCGTTCAAAACATTTTTATTTATTTCTGAATTGTTTTCCCGCTGGCTTCGAGAATTTCCACAAGGTTTTTGACAAGTTATTTTGGATCTTTGACTTTACATGATGTCTTATAGCACTCCAATCATGATTGACCAAAACCACAGGTTCTATTAAGGATGCTTCCAGCTTACTATAATCATGTTCGAGCCTTTGAGAACACTCTTGTCATCAAATTTTTTGGCCTTCATTGTGTGAAATTGACAGGGCCTGCCCAAAAGAAGGTAAGGTTGAAAGTAAACAAACCCTAACTCCAAAATTCTTTATCATGAACTTCCAAGAATCAAAGTTGTACTTTGAACTCATATTCTTCATTGATGTCCAAGGTGCGATTTGTTATAATGGGGAATCTGCTCTGTACTGAGTATCCTATTCACAGACGTTTTGACTTGAAAGGTTCTTCACTTGGCCGCACAACTGATAAACCTGAGACTGAAATTGATGCGACAACCACCCTTAAGGACCTTGATCTAAACTTCATTTTCCGATTGCAAAGGGCTTGGTTCCAAGAGTTTTGCAGGTGAACTTCTGTTTTAGTAACTTTTGTTCCTTTTTATTGCTTTTCATTTTTTATCTATAAAGCGATAGAATGTCAGTGCCAACTTCTTTGAAGTAGTAAAAAATAGGGCATTTTAAGGAGAATGGAACAACATTACTGCCAATTATTTCTTTTGCTCCCATATTCTTATTTTCTTAGAATTTCCAAAGGAAGAAGACTTCTTTTTCTGATTACTCTCATCTTAACAAAATGAACATTATGTGCAATCAGAAGACCTTATAGCTTCATTTCAAACAAGAGTGGCTCATGAGTCAATCTAATTAACAGTACCCACACTGATGATGCTTGAATTGCTCTTATGATGTGGATGCTCAAGCAAAGCATAAAATAGCATAATCAGTTGCCAAAGAGTGCATAAATTGTTCACACAATTTAGACCAAAATATTACTTAATATAGACTGTGGATACACGTGTCCAAATCTCTTATGTGATGCCAGGTCATTGTTATGTCATTATCTACATGAACTTGACAGCCACATATTAGTCTGATGAGGTGACGCATGGACCAATCAACCATCTCCAAGTATCTTGATACTTCTCTTTGAGGTCAGGCCATGTTGGTTGAAGCTCAGATACAATGTAGTCTCAAGCTTAGGAGCTCAAGGATTGCTGGCGCCCTAAGGGAAACAACAAAAGAGGCGACAATCAAGAGGGCAATAAGCAGCACAATGAAGTGAATGTTGTGGCCCCCACGCTTGTGGAACTGAAAGACACCCCCGGCAACAACAGCAACCGCAGCAGTCTAATCCACCTCGCAGACTATTCGCCCAGATACACTTGATGTGACCCCACGGTTTGGCCAACTGAACCTCTGATCAAGTGTGTTACTTCTCTCACTTGCAATGACATGTTGAGTAACACTCCAATTGAGCATGTCTCTCATATGCGTCAGACCTTTATCTCCAACATTCACTCTCAAGCACCTCATTGTACACTTGTGTTACTTCTCTCACTTGCAATGACATGTTGAGTAACACTCCAATTGAGCATGTCTCTCATATGCCTCAGACCTTTATCTCCAACATTCAGTCTCAAGCACCTCATTGTACACTTGCCCATAAACCCTTAAAATCCCCCCTCCAGCTTGGGCTGAGTGAATCTCCGCTCAACTGTGTTGTCCACCGTACTCACGATGACACACTCGACAGCCTCAATTTGATCGGGTGATCCTCAACTTGATTGTGTCCCTCCTTTGCTATTTATCAAAAAAAATAGAGATTGCGTCCCTCTTTTGCCTTGGTTCCTTATTTTCATAGGCTCTCTCCAAAAGGCCTTTCAAGCTCATGCTAGTTTAGGTCAGGACTCAAGAGCATAGTGTGGAGGCCTTCTTGGGGTTTGTGCCATAGTTGTAGGGTGCTTGAGCAACCCCATAACACTCATGTGTAACCTCTGAGATATGTGGTTCGGCAATTAGAGTTCAGGGTTCATCAAGGCACTTGTTCCCCTATCTCAAGGGACTTGCACCTTGACAAGTCTTAGAAAGACTATATTCTGTAAGACAACTACGAACCATAATAAAGACACTTGTTGTGCTCCGTACCTCCCAGGGTTTGAGGAGCACACCTAACTAGAAAGCACGGATACGGATACGAGGTACGGATACAATACGATACGGATACATTGATACAACAAAACCTAAAAAGGTAGGATACGGATACGGTTAGGATACGTTAGTAAAAAAAAAAAAAAATTATTAGCAGTGAGTTACACATAAGCTCAAGAATGTTGAAAAACCACAGTAACTTTATAATGCAAAATATTAATCTTTAAGCCACTAGCCAGTTTATTTTTAAAATTTTCAATAGGACTCACAAATATTTCATTTCAATATCAAATCTAATATGTTGATATTATAATATTAAAACAATCTACAACTTGACACTATACTTTTTCCTTTTGCACCAGTCAAAAATATTCTATACATGCAAGTTTATTTGTTTATTTATTTATTGATATTTAATTTTACTATTGTGATATGATATTATTAATCATTATTTCTATGTAATTATAGGGGACATGCATGATACAATGAAGATATGTCAATTTGATGAATTCTATTACTTTAGCTTACTATGTTATTTTTATATAAAATAAAAAAAAAAACTAAGCAAAGTATTGTAAAAATATTCTATTTATCCTTACAATTATATTATATTATGATGTTATGCAAAAAATGATACAATTCTAATTTTGTAAAAGGAGTAATACGTGACTTGGAGCATTTGATACTTCAAAATTAATTAAGAAGTATCCGATAATATGTGGCTTGGAGCATCCGATACTTCAAAACTAAGTATCTGATACTTCAAAATTAATGAAAAATTAATTAAGAAGTATCCGATACTTTTAAAAAGTATCTGATATGTTACCGTAAGTATCAAAGAAGTATTGGTATCCGATACGGATACGATACAGATACGTTTCCCTATTTGAAGGATCCATGCTTCATAGACACCTAATGATTATTGTAGCTGTTTAGGCGTCTATTTTTCTTCTAGTTTTCAGGTCAATGATACTGAGCCATATGTCCCCTTGTCTTCTCTCGAGCATTTGACACTGTGCATTCAGTTTTATTAGTTGCCAAGTCCCGATTGTCACACCCCAGATTCTATGACCCGAGTACGTGATTGGGGGAAAAGGAAATAGGAATCAATTAATAAATATTAAAGGATTAATTGTGTCATTAAAAATACAAATCATGAAAAGGGTCTCCAAATGCCAAATAGGTAGTAAATAAGTCAAAAAAAGCATATAAAATGAGAATTTTGAAAATAAGGGAAATTTGACAAATTGGGAGTGTGAGCACTAAGCGTTGAAGTCCGCATGTAAGGGTGAGCTGCGCACTCAAGCACAAGTAAGTAAGTGGAGCTTGAGCTCCCACAATAGAAGTCCCAAAGTAACAATTGTATAGAGGAACACAAGATAAGTGCAAAATGGGGCACTCGAGCCCTAGTGGCGGGGAGGCAAAGTATATTAAATAGCTCAAATTGGCAGGGGTTGGCCCTCACTAAGTGCCTTCAGGCACTCAAGACCACCTGGGAATGCTCCAAAACCTTATGCTAGAATAAGAAAATGGTCCCAAAACCTCCACCCATGTCTCACAATGATTTACAATCCTTTCCTTTCCAATAACCCTATCAAACTACTACATAAGATATTCCAAGTTAACATCCTTCCATTACATACTGCACTTCATGTTAGGGACTGTTAAGTCACCAATTATCCCAAAAGCTTAAGCTGTCACAAAATGAGTCTGACAATGTTTATCAGCTATCCAAATCACGGAGTAGACAATCAAATAGAGACTTTGGTTTTCCATATATTCTCCTCTCTCTCTCTCTCTCTCTCTCTCTCTCTCTCACATCATTCAACTCTCAACCCTTCCACCTCCGGTGGTCTCTCGTCATCTCAGTGCCTACCATAAATTTCTGAGGACTCCACAAAAAACCCTCTCACCCTCTACCATCCACATAGAGAAAAGGAAAAATTGGTTAGGAGCTTGAGAGCTCTTTGATTTGACAATAGTAGATGCCATAGTGAGGTTAGGAAGGAAACAAGAAGTTGATTGGCAATAAAGTTTTAGATTTTTTATCAAGTCACATTTTTAGAGAAAACCTGTGCCATGAAGGGATAAAACATATATGTCTTTTGTGAAAAGTATACTCTTTGAAAAGATCACGCATGTTGCTGCATCGACATCAGCGCAAATACAATTCCAGAATTAAGTCTAAATGAGGGATACTCTCAGGTGAATGTTTGAAACTTTTTGTAAGCAAATAAGGTTTTCTTCATGCAGGCAAGTAGACAGGGATTGTGACTTTCTTGAACAGGAGAGAATTATGGACTACAGTCTTTTGGTCGGTATTCACTTTCGAGAAACTACTCCATACACTAGGGAAGCCCGTAACACTGAGGGTCGTACTTCTGGAGTCCGCACTCCTACTGGTTTAACTCTTACCTTCTCTGGATCAACTTCCCCTCTTCATAATTTCAAGTTGAACAACAGTTGACTACTCAAGTATGTTTGCTCTTCTCCTACAGGAAACGGAGACCCTGATAGTGATGGAACAGCCCCTCGCCTTTCAAGAGCAGACATGGATCAACTTCCTTTTGACCCTGCCCGGTAAGCATAAACATGTGAATGTTGTGAAACTAATAAACAAAAAATTGAAGTTTTGAAGTATCCCCAACTTGTTCATCAGCGATCCAATTATATGTGCATAGATTTTTTTATCTCAATTAGTTCTTCAGTGCTTATGGAAACATTAATCTGTAACTGTTCTTAATTTCTTTTACCTTTCTCATTGAATTGAGTTTTTTTCAGGTGGGAATCCATCAAATTAGGCATAAACATGCCATCACAGGCTGAAAGAACAGTGAGAAGAAGTGATTGTGAGTTTCAGTTAATTGGAGAACCAACAGGACAGTTATATGATATCATCCTCTTCTTTGGCATAATAGATATATTACAAGATTATGATATTAGCAAGAAGCTTGAGCATGCATACAAGTCAATCCAATATGATCCAACTTCAATATCTGCTGTTGATCCGAGGCAATATGCAAAACGTTTTCGAGATTTCATTTTCAAAGTTTTCAAAGAAGACAGTTGAAGTTACAGATATATATACATATTATATTTTCCAACTTACAGCTAATAGGCAACCCATGTGTAGCTAGCTAGTCTTTGGTGGAGAATATGGAGATGATAGTGCTTAACGGTATAAAATTAACTATCCGCCAAGATTACATATGCTTCAGTAATCTGACATTACAGTATTAGTATCTTCCATTAGTCCTAATCCCATTTTATTCATAGCTACAGATGATGTGTGTTTTAGTTGAGGGGTATAGATTAGCATCGCAATACTGGTCATTCAAGCCTGTTCCAGTTGGAATTCTTCTTGTACCCATTATTTATTTATTTATTTATTTATTTGTCCCAGAAGGTGAGCAGTCTCTGGGATTTCCAGCACTGAATAAAAATGTACAGAAGGAAATTGAAATGGAAATGAAAATGCTTTATGGTTCCAAACAAGTTGAGTGTGGTATAAATGTTTAGGGGCTCTAAATTTTGGATTTCTGGCCCATTTTCACATAAACTAAATTGGAGTTTAACATTTGAGGAATTACCAACCAACCTTTAATATCATGGTCTCTAAAACATGTTTTTCAACTAATTGGGAAAGTTAATCCAAATCCAATTTTCCTACAAATTTTTTAGGTTCATGGCTGAATTTGAAATTTTTGAATGCTCAAAACTATTTGCCCCAAATTTTATTGGATTTTTGTTTGTCTTGTCTGAATCTCCATGCTAATTATATTGAATATTAGTTTAATATTAATGTTACATCCACCAAATTTTGACTTGCTCGAATTTGTACATGCCGATCATTCGGTCGCTCATTCAGAAACAAGGGTGACAATCGCGGTTGACAAAGGTAACAATTGTGATTGACAAGGGTTGAACCTGTTGTTCGGGAATTCGTCCGGCTAGTCGTTCGGCTTCAAAAATTCGCGTGAATTCAATTTCGGTGTATCAATCATTTTTTTTTTAAATGCACTTTTTCCATATTTATGAATCTTCATTTTTTGAATTTGATGAATATTTCGAACTTTTGAATGAGTTTTTTCTCTCTTTTTTTTTTTCTTCTCAATTTTAACAAATTTAAATTTAAAGATAAAATCATAACTCAAATGTCAGTCACTTTTTGCAAGAAGTTAACAAATTTTGACAACAAATAGTATTTTGACTAATTTTCCATATCTTTGAATCTAGAAAAATTATTAGATACTCTCAGAATATCACGTATTCATACTTCTCCACCACTCATCATTCACTATGTCTTTTTATATTTCTCAATCACTCAACACAAAATCATAATACCGCCACCTTCTCCACCAATCATAATATCAGGGAGTACCTAATGATCTCCCTTGAATCAGAATTCAAATTTCTATCACTTAATTTGGCTAAATTTTGGCCAAATTTCTTTGGGAAAATTTTAATCGATTCATTTTTCAGCTAAGGGATCGTTTGGAATGTTTTAAATAAATGCACTTTTTGACTTTTTATGAAATATGAGTTGGGTATAGGTTGGGTTTGAAGTGATGTGGTAGAGAGGTGATGTGACTTAAATAAAATGATGTGACTTAAATAAAATAGTGACTTTTTAACTTTTTGACTTTTTTTAGAGATAACAAATAAGGCCTAAATTTACCCTTGCTGGACATGTCTGCATCCTGTAACATCTTTCATGTATACATAAAGATCCACTCTTGTTCTCAAAACTAAAAAAAGAAATTCCACTCTTACGGCCATAAGGTTCAAACCAAATTTGGTATAAACAGGACTAGGATTCATTTGTGCAATATTCAACTTTTGGATCACCAACGAAATTAATTTGTCCGAATTAATTCAACAATTATCCATCTTTTCTGTTCATGGAGCCATAAAATGACAAAACATGTTCCGCTGAGAAGAAAATAGACATCCAACGATACAATTCATCAACTTAAAAAAGAACCAAATTAACCCCATACAGCATTGTAAAATTTCATCCACACTTTGTTACTGCACAAAGTTTTTCGATCCTGCATATTTCATTAGACAAAGGTTGTCACACTGCATATACAACATACATATATTGACTTACAAGTGTGGCTATGACAGTTCATGCCACTAGTCATGCAATCAAAACTTGAAAGCCGAACAGTTAATAATACAAGTAGTCTTTGACTCTGTAATCATGCGATTGATACTCTCCCTTCATCCATGTTTGATGTATTTCCATCTGACTGATGAACTAATCTCCGGTGCGGAACCACCAGGTAACTTTGTTGTTGCAGCGTATAGGTTACAACAGCCGCTTGCATGCTGCTATTCTCTTAAATTAATGGCTGCCGTGGATGGGGACGGGATTCTCAGCTCTTCATAGTGTAACCAAGTCCAAAAGAATTACCAATCCTCACATGTTTCATGAAATAGAATTGACTCAATTAGATGAGATAATGCACGTGAACCATTACCATGGTTCAGAGTTGTTAGAGAGGAAAGTTCTACCATATGAAGGCCTACTCCAACCTTCCTCCATCAAAATAAGATTGAGGCGGATCATCAATTTCTCAACGGCATCTTCCTCCAGGTCACTAATCGAATCAGATGATTGCTTCTGCATGGAAGTTTTTAATGAACTCATTAATATGTTCATCCAAATATGAAATTCAATGTTTGGGTACAGTGATTAGGAATATAGTCTACCTTTGCATCCTGATAATATCTGAAGAATTGCAGCGACTCCTCATAAAATCCACAGTGATAAAGGAGAACACTATAATCTCTTAATTCCTTTGGATCTGTTTCCAGGAGGATAAGGCGTTCACATGCTGTCAAAATAGCAAAAGCACCCAGGTGAGAAGAACAAGAGCACTGGTGAAGACTTCTCTTCTTTGCTTTACTTTGCTTGCTTGCTTTCTTTCAAACTTTTTTTTTTTTATAATAATTTTTTATTTTTTTTTATTTTCTGTTTTTAAAAAAAAGGACAACTAGGAGCATTTCAGTATTACATGGGAAGGTTCTATCTACACTCAACAAATTTATTTTTACACCCACCATATCTATGTGCATATACTTGTATTGTACATTATGAATGAAACTGTTGTAGAGTGGTTGTGAGGCAGTTTGACTATTTTTGACCTTACAAAGCCACTTTTAACTCCTACAACATGGTTTGAGGCATACATAAAGTTCTAAACAAGGCTCTTTGGCCTTAACACACCTTAAACCAACTTCATAAGGCTGCTAAAAAGGAAGAAATGTCCAAATTTCCTATTATTGTACTTGTGTGACAATGTGTTGTGCAATGTGCTTGTGCAGGGAAAATAGCTTGTGGAGTCTAATTGATTTGTGGACTGGCGGTGATTAATTTAACCATTGGAGTAGGGCTTTACATTGTTTTAGTGCAATTATAGTAGCCATATGTTTCTACCTCAAATGTATATGCTATGTTTCAAATGCTTTTGTTAAATGGCCTTGAATAGTAAAAACTTGTTTACATAAATGGTTTTTCACAGGATAGTCCAATAGCTGTCTGAGGACTGTATAAAGGATGATAGCATCCTTATGAGATGTCTCCGGTTACTGCGGAAATCTTTTCCCTCCTCGGTGTAGCGTGCATATGTTCCCACTGTTGGCAGTGTGTGCATTTAATGGTGTATGTTTCTTGCTACACAATCATGATGTGTGTATGATTCTTCCCTTGTTGCGTGCGTATAATTGGAGTACCGAGTTGATGAGGTCTCCCCTCCAATGAGCCAACTGGATGGGCATAGAACTTGTATATGTATCAGTTTTGGCAAAGTTATATGTTACTTATGAAACTTCAGTTTTATACATGGCAAGTTAAAGTATCTAAATATGTTTCAGTTAAATATTCAGCTATATGTTACAATATTTTGGGAATGCCATTCATAGTACCTTAATTGCCCCGATGTTAGATTATTCACTGGGTTGTGGCTCATCCTATTATTCTTACATGTTTTCACAAAAATGAAGTTTTGTGTACATAGGCAAAGCCTGGTGACTTTTGCATATGATGAAGGCAGGTCTGGAATACCTTATCGAGACTTGTATTATATTTTTTTTGTACATGTAAAGCTGTGTAATGGTAATGGCCTTTGTTGTACATATAAAGCTGTGTAATGGTAATGGCCTTTTATTTTGAGGCCAAGTTCATGTAAGTTTTTTGCATCTTATCTATACTTTGGCACAAACTTTGATATGATGACCAAAAGGCCACCCTAAAATTAAACCTCAAGTTATATAATACACTTATACTATGATTTAATAAACCATTGATAAATTGATGCACATGGCTTTTAGTATAAGCAGGACTTTGGTAGCAATGCAATTACTACAGGCTACTCATGATTGCCATCCCTTCTAGGGTGGGGTTTCGGTTTGTGAGATGAATATTCAACATAGAAAATATATCACTCTCAAGTAAAGAGGGAGAATGTCCCATTGAAAGCAACCCATCATACAAACTGTTGTAATTGCTTCCTTAGTCTGATCCATCAATGTGTGAGATAGTTGAGTGTTACGATATACTACTAATACTAGTAATCACGTTAGGTTGATTCACAAGTGACAACTAAAAGAAACCAATCACAAGATTTTTTGTTCCGGCTGATAACTTTTTACATTACTGTTTTTTAAACCCAATTTTTAAAAGCTATCTGCTACCAAATCTCAGCAAACAAAAATATGGATTAGATGCCACTAGTTGGATAATTTACCATTTCATGTCACACCATGTTTGCCATCACTAAGGGTAACAGAGTCGTGATAATTAATAATGAAACAAAACTACCATATGTTAACATCATTGTCCTAGTGCCAGAGGAAAGAAAATTATATGAACAACATACCAGATAGCGCACGCCTCATATCCCCAAAGCGTACGTTGGTCCAAACACCACGTTCTAACCTATGCTGAGCAGCCTTGGCAGATGCCAGATTAAAAGCACTGCAACAGACAGGATATAACCTTGTAGCTTAGAGGGAAAAGGAATACAGGTGCAGCAATTGAGGTCTTATTGGAAATTGAGAGAACATCAAAAGTTGTTACACACGAGATGAAGTACTGATTGCATTTATGAGTCAAAGTACCTTTCTTCAACATTATCTGATCCAGAAGAGCAGTTGGCAGCATGAGCAGCCCTTAAGAACAAGCTTCCGGTATTATCAATTTGAAATGGCCAGAAAGCTTTCTTCAAATCTCTCAAGGTCTGCACATCAAACATACTATAAAAGCCGAAATAATCCACATGCAACTCCTGGTATTGAAATTAGACTCAAACAGTAGAAAAGAAGGCCTAACATATAAAAATGAATATTCAAGAAACTTCCTTCCAGATTCTAACCTTAGGGCCCAACTCCTTTTTGACTCAATAATATGTAGCAATCTCATCATTTTTCAAGTCAGATTTTGTGGCTGGCGGAAAAGAGCGAAGAGGAGAGGGGTGGATTGCTTCAAATTCACAACACATATTGTGTTTGGAAATCTGACGATTAATTCTACGTTCTTCAGAAGATTGAGCAGATAGCTAAAGCTTAACATGGGAGCCTTCTGATAGAAGAGTGAATCCCCTTAAGCAAGGCATGCACAAACCAATTTTTCAAGGTGGGTCCCAAGAAAACTACCAAGGGGCCTTAGCCTTTGAAGTATTGCAATGGCCAAGGAGTTAAATTACCATCACAGCTATGGTGGTTCCCATATAGGGGTAACAGATGTTAAGAAATGAAGTGACTGATAGAGGTGTAACAGATGTTTATCAAACACAGCGCTGGAGCTGTAATTTCTTTCTTTGATAGCACAACTTCTCCAAATAAGAACAATAAGCATGTCTTTCCACCAACATTTGCTCATATGTAAATTTGTGTTAGGAGAAAAATCTATATGGAAATATACGACCTAAGGGGAATGACGGGGCAAGTGAGAGCCTTTGCTATAATGGGCTTTCCAGTTTGAGCCTCCTTCACTGATCATGAGTTAGGCTCTTTGTTCCAAATATTCAGTATTTACATTTCTGGGCCTAGTTCTTGCTTATTATTTAAGTCTGGCCTTGGTTGTATTGTAGCTCCATTCTACGCCTGCTCAAGCCATCTCCTCCCTCGGATCAAAAGATTTTGAGGTAGCCTGTTGCATGAGATTAATATAGCCCAAAATTCAATCCTAAGAAGAGCCAAGTTCAACCAATTTCATGAGAATGAATGAGAACCCACCCCATGAAGCCATTCATTACGCTCATGCTTGACCCAACACAGACAAAGAAGATGAACAGAATTGATAGCACCAACTCAAAAAATAAGCATAAACAGTTGGATCAGTTGGAAAGCACCAGCCCACTAGTTCACCAATTTTTCAAGGATCAGTTGGACTGTTACACTGACATTGTTCTTCCTCTCTAGTTCTTCCATTTTTCTTGGATCAGTTGGACTGTTACAACCACCACTATGACCTCTTAACAGGCTTTAAGTTTGTGAACTCCATTAGGCTAAGTTTGGTTAGGATGAAAGTGGTGGAAAGTGAGCTAAATGGACAAAAAATAAACCTTTTTCAGAGATTGTTTACCATGAAAGTGGTGAAAGTGAAAGTTACAAGAAAACTAATCTTCCTATACAACCCATGTTAGCATGGTAACTAAGCTTTTAGTTTCTTGCAAAAAATAGAAGAAAATCCAAGAAAGTTTAAACTTGTTCATAAAAGTGGTAATTTATAATTAGAATTCTTAATTTCTTTCTCTTTCTTTGCAAAATTTTCATTCTAATCACATGCATGAGAAAATATATTTTCTTTTCCTTCACTTTTACCACTTTCACTTTCCACCATTTATTTCTTTCTAATCAAATGGACCCTTAGGTCCACTAGCAGACTGGGATTTTCCCCTTGTTGCAGACATTACGCAATGATTGTATATTGTGTAATGATTTTTATGTTACATAACAGCGGCTATTTGAATCCCTAGTGGAAACCACTAATGTTTTAAAACAAGCCTAGCAGCTTGAGCTAGGAGCAATTTTTGACTCAATCCATACATGCTTGAACTCATTTAATGGGACCAACAAGCCTAGCTCCAGCCTTATCTAGCTGCTTGCTTGGCACATGAATACCATGTTGTTTACTGGATTTGTGGGAGTGAGATGTGAACATTGTTTTGTCCTATTCAATTTGGTAGCACAAGTCATAGGAACATGGTATCAACGAATCTGTTGAAGAAGGTTAAAGAACATGTGCAGGCAAGAAAACAGAAATTACCTCAACCAATAGAGATTGTGATGTCATGATATGTTGGTGGTCAGACTCCTTGCTTTTCTGTTTATGATAACCTCTAGGTAAACTATGAGGATCACGAGGAAAAAAAATCTCAACGTCAAAATTCAAGAGACCCCATAAACGAAGCATTTTCAAGATTTCTGAATATATAAGGGAAAGCATAGTAGCAGAGCCTAAGCGATGTGTCAACACCTGATTGAAACAAAAAGATAGTAGTTATGAAGAAATTAAACAATAGATGAAGAAATGGAAAGTGAATAAAAGGTGGGGTTCCATACTGAAGGGAGATAAAGAGCTCGTTGCTCTGATTGATTCCTTGCATTGGTTCTCCTGAAACCCTGACAAAGTAGAAAACACTTCATGAATCGCCAAAGACATCTTATTGGAATTCTTATATAGAAGACGTAATTTTTTGGGAAAGTAAAGGGTGGGTGTATAGTTATTTCTTGACATGTGTGAAGAGTGATGACTTATTCTCATTCTAACAATTATTTTTCACAACCACCAAATAGAGATATAGAGAGCGGTCTTGCCTGTTTGCAAGAGGCCCTTGGTATAGATAACTTGTCCACGTAGGGGAAAAAGAGGGAAAATTAACATCCTGAAATTTCTTTCCAAGTTAAAGATACCAAACTTCCTATTACGATGCCATTATATAATTTTGGATTGGTAATCAATTTTAAGTATCATGCTTGCTTGCATTAGACTTGGCCAAATAAATTCTTTTCTCTCCAAGATTCGTCCAATATTTTTCTAGGTATTTTCTTTTCATACTACACAATTCCTGCAAGAGGAACATCCTGTGCTAGTAAATTTGCTTTTTGAAATATCAAATCACCGCTAATGCCTAATCCACCATGGCGGCCTGACAACTTAACCCACTCCACATTGCCCCATGCGGCAAGCGAAGAAGCACAAACATTTCTAAGAAAGTGGTGTGTCCATATTGCATGTGTCGGACACTTGTCCAAACGTGTCCTGATATTTTTTTAATTTTTTTAGACCCGAATATGCACTTCAAACAGTTAGGAGACACGTGTCCTTCACCCAGAGACACATGAAACAAATTATAAATGTGGACAAAATAACTTGATACAATGATAAAAGAAAAAAATAAATAGAGAGAGAGATTTGTACATATTAATTCCTCCTCCTTTGTTATGTTCTATTTTTTAATTATTCTTTGAATGAAATATTCATTTATATGACATATAATAAACATAAAAAACTATATATTTTACAGGTGTCCCACACATGTCATGCCTTGAAATTTTTTAAAATTATTGTGTTGAATGTTGTGTTGTGTGTCATGTCTATGCTTCTTTGGCGGTGGTGAGGGGAGTGGGGTTGTTTGGTAAAGGAATGCTCAGAATGAATTAGCTAAGGTGACCACAAGAATTGACATGTGCAAATCCAAATAAAATAATAACAGCCCAAGAGTGCAAAAAAGTCAAATCTTAAAAATAAAAATAAAAAAGAGGAACTCTTCCCCTCAACTTGGAACAGAGTCACATAAAAATGGAATGTAGCAACCTTTCCATTTTATAAAAATATTTGAGAACAACATAAAATGGATAACTAAATCAACTGAAATTCAAAGTGAGAAAATATATAGAAGGAATACCCTGTCAACATACAAGTATTTCTCCAAACACTCAAGAATTTTTTCGGGTGAGGATCTGAATGAAGAGCTATAGTGAGAGCAGAAGTGCATAGAATGATCATCCAACCTCTCCATAAATGCATCCACCGGGAGAGGAACAGAAGAGTGCGAAATGAGGGAGTCATCCTCTGCTGCTATGTGGAGTGCTGTTTTCCCCAAATCAACCCCTCTATTTATGGTAATGCTTGTTTCCCTCTCAATATTCGATAGTTTTTTAATCTGCGAGCAGAAACCCTCCCTTGCAGCCTGCAAGTGATACAATACACCAAATATTCCACAATGAATTAAACAATTGAATAACCCATCATATTTACACCCAATGCCGAAAAGGGTAAAAAAAAAAAAAATATCACCTTAGATGAAGAAGAGAAGGCAGCTACTTAGCTAATGCATCAAATTCTACCTAAATTGAACAGTCATTGAGGGAAGATGGAAAAAATAAACGCATGAAACTCACGAAAATCAATCAATCCTAGGAAACAATCATAAAAGGTAAATCATAATCACCATAAAAATTTAGATATAATTTAGTATATGTTCAATGTAACAACAAATTAACAATACAACACAACAAAATCATCATAAAAAAAGGGACCAAATTCACCTATACCTCAAACATAATCAAAATCATCATTAAAAAAAAAGGGACCAAATTCACCTATTCCTCAAACATAATCAAAATCATCATTAAAAAAAAAGGGACCAAATTCACCTATACCCCAAACATAATCAGAATATGACAAAAACAAAATTCACCATAAAATTACAGCATCTATGCAAAAACCCACCAAAAAATTAAACATTTAAAAATAAAATAAAATAAACATCAGAATCCATTAATAGAGAGAGAGAGAGAGGATTAAAAAAAGGTGACATACTCTGGCATGGGTGGTATCGATTCCAGAAGCATCGAGGGCATGGTGCAAGAGGAAATTGAGTCCATTGGGTGGGCCGAAAAGTGAGCTACAAACCATACGAGTGCAGTGATGGGAAGAAGAAGAAGAAGAAGAAGAAGAAGATGGTGATAGAGAAGGGCAATTCCAACGATTAGAATAAGAAAAAGAAGATGACACCGAGGAGATTGAAGAGGAAGAGGAAGAGGAAGATGAGGAAGAGGAAGATGAGAAAGGGAAGAAGATTACAGAAATAGAGGGAGAAGATGGTAAGGTAAACCCACTCATGGTTTCCAAGCCAATGAGATGACGATGACGATGATGATTAACGAGAGCAACCACCTCTTCTCCTCTCCTCTGTCCTTGTTACCTTCCTCTTGTTTTTTTTTGGGCAAGTACCTTCCTCTTGTTTTGTGGGGTACCATCATCATCGCCCTGAAATGAAGTGGAGAAAGGAATTATTTGCTTGGCTCTATTTTTCCAAAAACCTTTTTTAGAAAATTTTATTTTTTTATTTTTTGTGTTTTATTTTTTTGTTTTTATTAAATTTTTTTAATATTTTAAATAATTTTTTTTTAGACACACTTAATATAAATATATTTAAAAAATAAAAAATTATAATTTTTTTAAAATATCCAAAAAAAAAAAAAAAAAAAAAAACGAAAATTCAATATAATTTTTATATTTTTGTGTATTTATTAATTTTTTAAAATATTTTTTCACAATATTTTACTTTTTAGACACATCTAAAAAGATGCATCTAAAAAAATAAAAATAAAAAATGCTTAAAATTTAAAAAATATTCACTAAAAACAAAAAAAAACACGAAAATCAAAAAACTCAATTTTTAAAAAAAATTAATCTAGAAAATTCAAACCAAACACACTGATTATAATTTATAATATTATGTTAAAATATATAAAATTATATATAAATTTTAACATCTTGAATTTTATTAAAAATATATTTATAACTTAAACACCATACATAATATTATAATATTAAATTTTTTATTATTTATTTTTATTATTAATTATCTGAATTGCACGCATTCACTAATAATAATGTAAAATGTATTTAGGATATTAATAATAAAAGGAAAAAAAAACAATTTAAAAAACTTCAAAAATAATTACAATTTTTCTTCCATTTTTGCCCTTCTCTCTTCCTCCCCATCCTCCACTGACACCATGCCTCCACCACCACCGCCACCACTTTTGCCACCCACTCCAAATAACTAAAGCACTATCTCCAATTCCAATACTTCTATATTTACCGCTGCCATCCTTACTATAAACTCAATTATAAGTGTAGAGTTTCAATTTGTTTATTGTTACAGCGTTTTACTTTTTTCTCCATCTTTTCTTTAATTTTTGGGGTTTTTTTTTTGGTGCCATTGATCATGAAGGTTGTCAAAAGAATGTAAGAGTAGGTGAAAGAGGCTATGAAGCAGGCTAGAGGTGAAGGGATGAGAGAGAGAGAGAGAAAATAAAAATAAAAAAATCATGATTTTATAATTATTCACTTTTCATTCCAACTGTAGGTTTTAAAAATAAAAAAAAAAAAAATAGATTCTGCATTTTATTTTTTTTCCCCTCCAAATAACATTTTTTGGTAATTATTTCAAAAATAATAAAAAAAAAAATTTGAAAACAATTTACATCCCCGTCATCACATAATAACATAAATAGAGTAATAATATACACATCCTCAAATCCCAAGGACAAAAAATAAACACAACAATTTGCAATTCTACAACATTTATTAATACAATTTTATCGACAATTTAGCATGAGTCAACCAAGTATGTGTATATTACAAACATCTGAATGCTACTAGTCTATTTCAAGGACATAATAGAAAGATCATGTGCCTCCTTTTAAATGATCAACCTAGAGACTTCACCATTTTGCCACAATCTGTTTTTACTGTACACGATTTCGATCATCTTCACTTTCGACCCCATGGATTTCAGGGATAGGCTCGTACGCCACCAACATACGTTGCCTTGACAGATGCAGATCCTTTTGCCACAAAGTCGTCCCATGAATCAGTCGACAACACAACAAAATCTGCAAACTTTCCTGGAGATAACGAGCCCACATCCTCGTCAAGGAAGCATGCACGAGCAGCTGAGATTGTGTACCTGCCATGGGAACTTTCATATCAGCAATGATGAGAAATAATTGTAAATGGAAACAGATTCAAAATAGTGAGGATCAGATGATGTAAAGTTTGTTGTTACCAAACAAAAAGAAAAAAATCCCATTTAACCAACAACTTTTACAATTTATGAATGAATCATTGCAGCGTAAACCTTACAAAATGGGATTTCACGTGTTCACTAAAGAATCAGTTTAGTTTCCCAACTGAATTATATGTGCCTTGTAAAGAAAATGTATTAATTTTGAGTTAGAACTCTTCTACCTGTTCTTTTCAATAACGCACACTATACACTTCATGCAGCACAAAAGCTAGGACGACCATTAGTTGAATCTACACCATCTGTTTTTGTGTTTTTGTTCCCCATTTCAGATTATGCTCCCAAATACCCCCTACACTGCCCCTAGGAAATAAAATTAAATGATAGAACTGTGGGGACGTATTTTGTGAATGATAACACTTGGCTAAGGTGACGCCGAAGTGTCAGTCGAGGTGCCACGTGGCTTGATCATGCACCGAGATGATCTCGGCTAGGCCGAGATTGTATACGGAGATACCAGAATCCAAGATAAGAAGATGAGGTAAGTAGATAAAGGACAAGAGTTCTAGAACAAAGGAGGATCTTAGTCTGGATAAAGATAAGGCTCAAGAAGAGTTTATCTCTATCTAGATGAGGGTCTAGAATGAGCATTGAACCTGAGTCCATTGAAGTGAGGCTTCTAATGGGATCAGGTCACTGTTGGTTATAAAAACAAGGCACCCTCGTGGGTCTGAGGTAAGTTCTTTCTTGTGAGTTTAAACACAATTTGCTATATTTCAGAGATATTAATTACTGACTTGATCGTCAGAGTACTCCTGGGTGGACGAACTACCGCTAGATTCTCATCTTCTTGTTACAGGTTATTGGACTTAATCTATTCTGCCGGTGCTCTCCAGCTGAGTTCCCCTTTAGGTTGTGTGGTCGGAAATCAACACCCACAATTTGGCGTCGTCTGTGGGAATTTAAGGAGATGGCCAACGACGGACAGGAAGAAAAGATTGGGGATGACATTAATAATGAGAGTTGTGAACATGCAGATCCTAACGTCGGGAAAGAAAAACCGTAATAAAGAAACACAGGATCCGAATCCTGGAGAGAATGACGTCGGCAAAGAGGGGAATGGCCCGAAGAAAGCAGGCTGAGATGAGTATTACAACGAAAACGACCTCCAGGTATGGAAGGATAGCTGCCTGAGGAGGGAAGACGAGATGAAAGGAATGGAAAACAAGTTGGCAGACCTACAATCGATTGTCAACTTCATGATACAGAACAACGTGATGCAACCACCATTCCCGTTGCAGGATATGCCGGTAGTAGCGGCCAAGACTGATGCCCAGAAAGGGGGGCAGAAAACAATCCAGCAGTCCCGCAGCATGGCAAGGAAAATGAGCGCTCATATCGACCTTCACGGGATGTCGGGCGAGTAGAGTCGGTGAGAGGTGAGTCACAGAAGACACCACGAACCAAGGGGACCTACGTTAAAGAATCTCGGCATATCCAGGGGAAGGGACTTTGCTTTGATATGGTGAATAAAGAGAAGTCCAAGAAGACGCACAGTGATGCCGGGATCAGCGCGCCAAAAAGGCTAAAATTTATTGATAGTTGTCCCAGCCGAACGAAGGAGGATCTGAGGGACTACCTCCAGAGGAAGCGACTCCACGTCGAGGTAATATCCCTGTCAAGCCGAGAATGCCGTTCTCAGTAGAGTTGGATAGATTTGAGGCCCCAAAAAGATTCCATATGCCGAGATTCCAGATTTATGATGATAAGTCTGATCCGAACTTTTATGTCGACTTATATTTAAACTTAATGGTTTTGTATAGCAAGGAATGAGTAGTTATTGTGCAAGATGTTCCCTTCATCCTTTGGGGAAATCGCATCAGATTGGTTCCACAAGTTGCCGAAAGGAACAGTGAAGAGTTGGAAAGGCCTGACCGAGATGTTTGTGGCCAGGTTTGTAACAAATAAGTTGCAGCCACTAAGAGTAAACTCCCTGTTGGCTTTGAACATTAGTGAAGGTGAAAGCCTCAAGGCTTATGCCAAACGGTATTATGAGGTGTTCAACCAAATACCGGCATGCAACTAGGAGCTAGCAGTCGTATCTTTCAAAAATTGCTTGGAGGATGAATGTCTGCTTTGAAAGTCACTTACAAAAACTCTACCAAAGAGTATGAAGGAGCTCATGACACGAATTGAGAAATATGCCAAAACAGAGAAAGGCACACATGGAGCAAAGGCACCAGAGTAGGCTAAGAGAAGCAGCTCGCCAAAGCGAGGCCGAGGTAACACTGGTTTCAACAGGCAGGAAATAGGGTTGAGGACTGCACAGGCAGTCACCACGGTATTCAGGATCCTGGTCTACAAAGTTCTGGAAAGGATTAGAAACCAACTATATTACAGAGCGCCGAAGAAGATCCCTAGCGAGTTTATGTGAAGGAGCCTTGAGAAGTATTATGCTTGCCATAATGAGGATGGACACTTGACTCAAGGATGTACGACATTGAAGATACACTTGGAGGATCTGGTCAAACAGGGTCACCTAAGAGACCTAGTAGATAAGGTCAGGACAAGAGAAAAGCAAGCAAGGCCACCCCAGGCACCGGCAACACCACCTCCACCACCGCTACCGCAGCAAGTAGAGGGATCTTGGGTAATCAATGTAATTCACTCAAAGGTCAATGAGAATTATGTATGAGGGGAATCTCAGAAAGTGAGGCACCTCCAGCATGTGTATCAGGTCCAGCAAAACAAGCCTAGGAAAAATGAGTACCAGAGACCAATGATTTTTTTTACTGAGGCAGACCTGGATATGGTGTAGCATCCACACAACGATGCCCTGGTTATAACACTAAAGATTGGAGAGTGCCAGGTGAGGCACATACTGGTTAATCAATGCAATTCTTGTGACATCATGTATGTTAGATGTTACAAGGAGCTTGGCCTTCACCCAGATGATTTGGAACAATCCAACAACCCGATAGTTGGATTCAACAGAACGCCGATGTAGCCTCTGGGAGCCACGAATTTGGAGGTCCAGGCAGGCACGAAGAAGGTAAGCACAGAGTTTACAGTAATTGATACCCCCCTCCCTTTATAATGTTATTTGGGGAAGACCGTGGTTGCACGCAATGAGGGCTATTCTCTCAATGTTGCACCAGTTGTTACAGTTCCCAATTGAGCATGGAATTAAGAAGGTCAGAGGAGATCAAGTACA